TTCGCTGTGAACTGCTGTGAACGAATCATTCTCTGTGAACTAATCTTTTGCTGTGAACGAATCATTCTCTGTGAACTAATCTTTTGCTGTGAACTAATCATTAGCTAAGAAAGCTAAGAAATAAAAACACACCACAATATGAAGATGAATGAGAGCAAAAACGACCCGAGCTCTTTCACGTGACAAATGAAACGAATCTGCGAGAACGAGGCGAAAGATTAGTTCACAGAGAATGATCCGTTCAAAGTGATTAGTTCACAGCAAAAGCTTAGTTCGTGACCTACCCCATATTTATTAGTGTGTCAAATGGTGGTTATTTAAACACAGGCGTGCTGTAACCGCAAAAACGTTAGATTATAATCTAACGTTATCGATCTACGGTTGCGTAAACGGCTCCACAACGCAAAAAAAAAAAACTTTTAAAACCGTAAATTTTACCGCGCACAGACCAATATTCTATGAACCAATGGCAAAATAAAATCACATTTATATTTCACGTTCGTTCAAACACAGTCGTTAAAACAGAGTTGTTGTCTTACCTTTACATGTTAGCTTCGAAGCTATTAGCCATCGCTACAATTACCGCTGAATTCACTGAACAATTTCACCTCCCAATTGTCAGTTTTTCCAACCCAGTTTTTCCAACCCAATTGTCAGTTTTTCCAACAGATTTGATTGGCCAGAGGTGAATTATTCCCTTTATATCTGTACTTACGTACATACATACTGTATATAAAGGTCATTAAATAATAAAGGGAACCTATTATTTATTCCTTGTGATTCCCTATATATGCATATAGTAGTAATTAGAAATTAATATGATATTCATTATATATATATATATATATTTATATATATATGTATATATATTTATATATATACATATATATGTATATATATATATACCTACATATATACAAACAAATATATACAATACAAACACATATATAAAAACATATTTACATGTTTGTATTTCTGTGTTTCTGTTAAGAAAAAATACCAAAGAAGATGCAGTTGAGCAGCAGCACAGCCGGTGGTTTTAATCTGTCCTGGACTGACTATGGCAATGCTACTTGTGGCTATACAGTGGAGTGGTACATTATGGGAGATACACCACCATCTCTATTACAGTGGAAGAAAATTCCTGAGGGTTACAATGCATTACAATTACCTGCTGGTAGATTTTCCTTTTAAATATCAAAATACTTGTTTGAATTTCTAGAAGCTAATAGAATAATTTGTCAATAATGGCTGTGTTCCAGATAATTTCAGAGCAGGCTGTCGCTACACATTTAATATCTATGGATGCACAGAGAATGGATACAAACTTCTGGAGATACAGACTGGATATTCCCAGGAGACTGGTATGTGTTAATACTGGTACTGTGAATAAGTACATTGGTACATGTGTCCACACAGTGTTTCGAGACAACTGTATTTTAATTAATGTGGTGTGAAATGTTTGAGGTCTTAGCATATTTCTTCTTAGATAAAAACATTTCAAAAGGTAAGGAAATAGAACGTTGGCTACAGGATGTCTTCATCTGTGAAACATATCAAGACATCCGCCTTATGTAATCTCTGTATGTGAGATACAGACAGGAAATGGTAAGATGTGTCTACTGATAAGTGCCAGCAAAGAACATGATGAAAATCTTAAAAGGATAATGTGCAGGGCCATTAGTTAAATGTCCATAAATACATGAACCCAAAATGAATGTATTTACACACACAGATAAGGAACAAGCTCATTTGGTGTTAAAATCCACTTTTCCATAAATAAAATCCAGAAGTGCACATTATTGTTTTGTGGCAAAAACTAACTTACTGTATTTTCCAGAGTATAAGTCGCACCAGCCAGCTAGGGTTATCTTCCATGGCTGTCAGTGTGAAAACAACAAACATTCTAATATATAAGTTGCACCTTAGTATAAATCGCAAACCCCTAAATGGGTAATTTAGATTTACCCCATGAAAACTTTTATATCTTTAACAAGAAATAAAAATACGATTTCTTATATGTATATATATATTAAATTATATGTATATGTGATGTACATCCACATGGTAGCGTGGCCACGCGTTCTAAGGCACTGGATTAAGTCTCCAGTCGCTTCAGGGGTGTGGGTTCGAATCCCATCAGTGCAAATACTTTTCCTTCATCACTTAAAGATGTTACTGCGGTGATGCGACTTTTCCAGTGCTTTACAAACATTAAATGGCAGTGGTGTCTTGGTGATGAGTTAAGTGCAGAGGTCACATTTTGTTGTGTGCTATGTCACAATGACAAATAGTTCACTTTCACTTCATATGTTTATAAATACTTTGTTTTTCTTCAAATCTTTTTCCAGTAATGGTTCCACGTCCTCGTCTGGTTGAGCCCATTCAAAAGACTTCCTCGTCTGTGACTCTGCATTGGCATTACAATGAAGATGATGACTCTAATCCGGCGTTCATCATTGGTTACCTGGTGAAAGTAGAGGACATGGGACCTAACACACAGCCAGGTTTTAGAAAAGGTTGGAAAACACTGGTATAAAAGACAGTACAGTTCAGAAAGGCCACTCAGTAACTGACTATATTCTACTAAACACATCAAATCCCTAGTTGGATTGGTGCTAACAACAAAGTCTCGAGCCCTAACACTTATGTTTACAGCAGTCCTCAACGTGACAGTGGCAGACCCACTGAGAAAGTTTGTGACTATAGAAGGTTTGAAGCAGAACCATGACTACAATTTCACTGTGAGTGCTCTCACCAAGAAAGGGAGTGGACCGGCAGTCAGCATCACCATCAGAACCAGAATCAACTGTGAGCCCTATAACATGTACTTCACCATCACTAGATTCCACATTGTCATTTATTTTTGTTTTAATTTTTTACTTTATATTGGTTCTAAACTCAGTCAACATGTATTCATATACACTCACATGAATGTTATTTGTGTAAAAACCTGATGTTGTTTCCTCTGTCAGATTCCACTCTGTGGGTCGGATCACTGATCTTTATCTTGTCACTGCTGGGATGCACCGTTTTGCTATGTTCTCAAAGAAAACTGTGAGGAAACCTCTAAATCTTCATCTTTAACATTTAACCCAGCAGAACCTTATTCTTATTTCTACTCTATTTCTGTATTATTATTATTAATTGTGTCATTTCCAGGCTGAAGAGAAAAGTGACAGAGCTATTTGTTTATCCTGCTGGCATGAACATCAGAACAGTGGAGCTACAGAGATTCCTAGAACAGGTAAAGACCAACTATTTTAGGCAGCATGCTTCAGTGTGTACATTCATGAATACTCCCTGCCTCTGCTTGACCGCACAGACTGGTGAGATGGTGCAGCCCCACAGGACAGAAGACTGTGTCAGCTGCGAGATCCATATCGTAAAATTCCTCCCTCATGTTAATAAAACACCATCAACGCTACAATTTCCAGTCGCCGCGACCACACCCTTTCCTGCGTCTCTGTCCTTGACTTCACCTTTACTGTCATCACTGACACCTTCCTGTATGCCAGTCCAAGACTACAGCCCACAGTTGGTTACGCTGATCGAGAAAGATCCTGCCCTTCAACAAGTTAACGACATAACAAACATGATCTACTTCCATTCCATGATGGATGATTTCCCTGAGGCAGAGGGAGACGCGATGTCCGGTAAAGTCAAACTGAACTTTGGACCTTCTGACTGCCAACAGGAATCGTGTATTGTGACATATGGTTATATCTCCAATGAAATGTTGTGAGAAAAAAAAAACTTAAAATGTCTATCTGAACATTTGTGCACGGCTTTAATAAGGTCTGCGTGTTACACATGATTAATTCAAATTAAATGATATTAATTAACAAATATATATATATATATATACTTGTATTTTTCCTATATTGTGAAAGACCAGTGCTCAGTGGTGTATCATCAAAGCCTTCTCTGCTGGACCAAACAGTACCAGAATCAATGACTTATTTTTCAATATATTTACCATGAACATTTATAAAATAATTATAGTCGTTGTTCTTTCTTATTCTTGGTTGCACTGCTTCCTGTTTTTTTTATCCAATCATATTTCATTATCTGTTGCGAGGGTAAAAGAAATCCACCCTAAAGCCTTCAGAAGCAGCATGCTAGGAGTGAAATTGCAACATGAAGCAATCATCAAAAACAATCATATCAGTCCCTTTGAGTGGGGAATCGGTGTTAATAAATTGGCAGGTCATCTGGGTAACTCCCCTGTTTGGATTTAGTTCTGTTTTTATGATCTAATTGTCTGTGTTTTTGCTCCCTTTGTTTTTATGTGTGTTCTCGGATTTTGGATATTCTATTAAAGACATTCTTTGGACAAATGTTTCTGCTCTGTGAGTCTTAAGACTCCATGCGACGACAAAATAATTCTTAAAAAAAAAAACCTCTTTTACTGCAAATACAGTAACGTCTTCAGTTGTAATATTGTAAAAGACTGAGGGAGTGGTCCACTTGGCTCTGTCCTCACATATTTGAGGACTCCATTTTCAAAAATGGAAAATCTGCAAAGGAGGAATCTGAAGGAACTTTCTTTTTATAATTTTGAGAAACAGTATGTTCATTTTAAGTTGTACAAAGTACTGTACGCTGTCGACAAGATGTGAAAGTAAGGCGGGATATTTAACAGGGTCACTTTGTTGCTCAACCCTGAAGTGAAGTAACCGTTTATTTTCAAGATGCTGTGCTGATAAACCAACTGAGCATAAGATAGCAACAGCATAACCCGGATGTTTCATCATTAGAGGGCACTTCTGAAAAAACAAGAACTGTGGGGAAACATGTTTATCTAGTTGTTAAAAATGACTAAAAGCCTTAAAATTCCGTTTCGCTGCAATGTGGCCCTCAGTAACTAATGAACGATAGTGATTGGAGTCAAATCTGAAAACACATGGGCCATTTTACACTTTATGTAATTTGCTTGTTCAAACGAATCACTTCACTGACATGCTGTTAAAGCAAAAGGATAAAATACATAAATACAGTACAGTGGAACTTCGAGACATACGGATATTTCTAGATACAAGCAAGCTTTCGATCAAATTTTTGCTTTGAGATACAAGTAAAAATTTGAGATACCTTACGTACGTGTAAGTTACTCTACAGAATCAAGTGTCTACGTACGGGCCAACTCTCTTCCCTCCCTCCCTCCTTCCTCCTCCTCCACACATGCCTCCATTAGCCGCTACTGTATCGTCTGTCTCTAAGGTAGGAATTATCATAATTATCTCATAATTAAAACCATAATTAAAACTACATTTTATTTGATATCACAGGAATCCTGATATACTATAATTTTGTTGTGTGTGTATGTCTCTATAGAAATTAAAAACATGTTTTTCCATTGTTATTAGCAGTAATGAGGGAGTTTTTAGAGTGACGGAACAGATTTGCACCTCGAAGTTATGAGCTTGGTCCTGGAACTGGTTATGCTCGTATCTCGAGGTTCCACTGTATAGTGTGATAGTGCTGTCTTGTTTTTTTAACAAGAAGATAATTTGTTTTAGATTAAATTAGATTCAACTTCATTGTCATTACACATGTAGAAATGTAAGGCAATGAAATTCAGTTTGGCGTCTAACCAAAACCGTAATCGTCAGTAAGGTTCAATTGCTGGTTCAATTTCCTGTCTCTCTGCATAGGTTACATGTACTCTATGAGTGTGTGTGTGTGTGTGTGTGTGTGTGTGTGTGTGTGTGTGGTAGACTGGCAAATTGTTCATAAATGGAGTTCCCCTAATGCACTGTAATTTCATTAGGAACCAGTGTTTGATGTTCAATAAAAAAAACATTATTTTTATATATTTGTTTTGACTGTAAGTCAGTGTCAGATTTAAGAACCAGTTTTAAACTGTTTTTTATTTTTGCCATAATTATACCAGCAGTCCCTATGAAAGAATGGTAAATAGTGGCCTAGTGATGAACTATATTCAGAAAAGCTGTGGCCTTTACAGCAGTCAAACACACATTTAAACATTCCCAGCGCAAATGAAACCAGAGCTACCAGCAGCAGCCTGAGGCTGTTGACACAAGGCAGGTTAAGTCAACTGCACCTGAGCAGGAATCAAGATTCACTGGGTTTTCCAGGTTTGACTAGACTGGTGTGTACCCCAGCCCCAAACATCTGCTGAAATGAGGAAGTAACCAGATGGTATTAAAGATATGGTTAAAATATAGTGGAATCTCGAGATACGAGTATAGTCCGTTTCAGGACCGAGCTCGTAATTTGAGGTTCTCATAACTCAAATCATTTTTTCCCATAAGAAATAACAGAAAGAAAAATTAATCTGTTCCGGCCCTCTAAAAAACTCCTTTATTAGTGCTAATAAAACATGTTTTTAATTGGTATAGAGACATACAAACACCAAAAACATTTATAGTATATAAGGATTCCTGTGATATAAAATAAAATGTGGTTTTAATTATGAGTTCTTACCTTCGAGACAGACGATACAGTAGAGGCTAATGGAGGAATGTGGCTAATGGAGGAGGAGGAGGGAGGGAAGAGAGTTGGCCCGTACGTAGACACTTGATTCAGGTACACTCACCACCATCCTTAGACAGAAAATCACGTAGATAACGCAAACACAATACGGAAGACTCGCCGGAGATGAGTACGGAAGTCGACAAACACAAGAAGTGAATGAATAAAGTGGCGTGGGCTGCTCCAAGTGCTCGGCCACCTAGCGTCGGCATCTGTAAGCATGGTGTTATCTCAAATCTTTACTCGTATCTGGAAGCACAAATTTGCTCGACTGCTTACTCATGTCTCACATGTTGAGACGCTGCAATCTTGAGGTTCCACTGTAATTGATTTTTTGTTTTGGAACAGTCATCTATTTGATAAATTGTGTTTATTCAACATTCATCCCTCTTTCCATCAAACCACATTCCCTGCACATTACTTTATCTGTTGCTTCATGTTGTTTAAAGTTGAAGTACTGGTCCTTTAAAACATGTTGGTGCTCTGATGAGATGTCTACAGTTGTTACCCTACTGTTTATGCTAAGGTCTGAGCAACGACACATTCATCACTTAAGAGGAAACGATTCATGTTATCCTGCAAGTCAGTGGAAGGAAACTGACACAAGACACAAACCAACAGACACACAGTCCGAGATACTGGACTGAACCAACAAACCACATTTTATGCTGTAAGGCAAGTGCCCTAACCACATCTTCCACTGTCTGTTCCTGAGAACTTTTTAGTTGTATTACCTTTCAGTGAGTCAAGATGCAATCAACAAAACTTTGACCACTCAGTTTTTCCTGGAAATAGGTCTGCATTCAGCATTAGTGTTTTTTATGCATTTATATTAACATATAAATTGCACATTTATGTGAATATATGGGGAAATATCTATATATATAAACACATATAGTGTATAAATGCATATCACCATGCATATATTACATATTCATACATACATATCTATATATAGAAATATATGTATACATGTAAATATACATACATGTATATATTTTATTACAAATATAGTATTTATACATATTCATATATACTGTATATATATATATGCATATCACTATACATATAAGACAATATATATATTATATATTTATACATATGTATCTATATATACAAATATATGAATACATGTAAATATACACATGTCCATCCATCCATCCATTTTCATCCGCTTATCCGTTACCGGGTCGCGGGGGCAGCAGTCGCCACCCAAATCACATTGCACCATACCAAACCTTCCTGCGGGTGGTGAGTCCACTGGAAGGTACCAACCGCCCTAACGAACTTGCCCAGGAGGTGAACCCTGGGGTTCCACACCAATGACAGAGACATTGCCTCTGGGCCAAAGCGCCACTATATACACATGTATATATCTTATTACAAATATAGTATAAATACATATGCACATATTGTACATATGCATATCACTATACATATAAGAATATATATATTATATATTTATACATACGTATCTATATATACAAATATATGCATATATCTAAATATACATACATGTATATATTTTATTACAAACATAGTATATATAAATTTATATATATATTTTTATATATAGCATATATAAATATATATGCATATTACTATACATATATAAAATATACAAATATTATATATTTATACATACATATCTATATATGCAAAATATGCATACATGTAAAAATATAAATACAAATATAGTATAAATACATATTCATATATACAGTATGTATATGTATTTATAGTATATTTGTAATAAGGCTGCCCACTGCTCACCTAGGTGATGGGTTAAAATCATTTTCGTTGTATCTTACTGTTACAATGATAATAAGGACTATAATTTTTCTTTTAATTTTTTTTTTGCCCTCGATTTCTCTGGTAGACGGTGAGGGGAAATACTTTAACCAACAAAAAAAAATAACAAAAACAACTCATGAAGCAACGAGGAAAGAAAGTTTCTGTGTCTGATTAAAACAATGTCATAATGATGTGATTTTATTGCTAATCACAAACAATCAAAAACAACCCATTTACATACAGCAGTTTCAACATCCTGAGTCAAAGAGCCAAATCTGAAGGCAAATATAAAAGACAAACATAAAAACCTAATTCAATTAAATTCTTATTTCTACAGTGTGTGCTCGCTAAGATTCAAGTGGTGCTGATTTCTTCTGAAAAAATTTTTAAATTTTAAATCAGAAACATTCGTACATAAACATAAAACTATACATGTGGTGCATTACTTGCACGGAGAACTATTCATATAATGTAGAAAAAGAAAACACATACATCTGCTACAATCTCTCTCTGTCTGACACAGTGTTCTCAGTGAGGCCGGCCTTGGCTGCCTCACACCTCAGTAGATCAGATCATTCATTAAAAAAAAATAAAAATAAAAAAACTTAGCACAAACTAACCTTTCACATTATCATAGCGGCAGCCACTGGCAGTACAGGAAGAAGCTGAAGGAAACAAGTGAAGGAAAAAATCACTGAATTTCTTTCAAAACTGAAGGAAAGAAATTCACTCAATGGAATCAAGTTATTTGTGTTTTGATCGTTCCATTATGGGGGATCTTCAGTGGTGTGTGGTCACTCTGGCTGCTGAACTCAGACTAAGAGTGAAGTCTGCCCCATGGCTGTTCACGGTTAGCCTCCGAACAGACACAACGCGAAGGTCAGGGTTCACACTGAGCTACGGTGTTGAACTCTCAACCTCACCTTGCGGTGCTTCCTGAAACGCAAACACCAAGACTAAGAGTTTTTTTTACATAAAACACAGTAAATGTGCAGTCAATGTAAGTTAGCAAAAAATGCTAACAAAAAACTGTTTTTTTTTACCGTTTTGGTGGCGACACCATGAATTTCCAGAGGATGGCGTAAAGACCAAGTAAGAAGGCGATAAACACTGCAGCTGCGACTGTACCTGGTAGCAAAAGACATGTTTGTTCACAAGTTAAAATTTAACTTCATGTTTGCAAACTTGGAGCAAATAGCAGTGGTTTTAAATCACTTTTTACAACTTCACTACAGGAAGTTTGTCAAAATTCTTTCAGAATTTAACCTGAGAGTGTGTGGTTCTCTGCAGAGAACGTGTATATATTTTAATCTTACTGTTCATTTGTCCATTTTGACAGTTATTTCCATAATTAAATTCACCAACAAAAGAATGTCAACATTTTGACCATGTACCAAGGAAGGGCTACTACACACAGCTACTACAAAAAAACATTATATTAGCACGTATTCTCATGGTTGTACTGTATTATCAATGGCTACTTAAATTAGTTTAATAATTCTGATCATTTCTGAGTAGAGTCTCCCACAGAAACTGGAGTCTGCTGCCATTTAATTAGAAAATGAAGAAATTTCAGAAATGAAGCAATTCATTTTCTTAAGACTTGAGCTAAAACAGGATCATGCCGCTACAGACACACGTTCCGTGACACATCTCTTTGAGGTTTTAGGTTCAAAAGATTAACCTAACTGTGGACAGTCTTGCAGAAACAACATTAAATGTTTTTGATAAAAGAGCAAATCTGATGAAATGTACAGTTAGGACTATTCATCAGTAAAAAACTAGCACTGGAGGTTTGTTTTGGTTTTTAGGGACCTTGAAGCTACCGTCCCTGAAGTTTGCCTACATGTCTCTACATGCAACACACTGGTCCTTCGGTTTGTATTGTGATTCATGTATTCCAGATATCCAAATATTTGTTTTATTCTAACGTCTTCGTAAAGAGAGATGTTGGGTGTGGTGAATTATAAAAAAAACAAACAAAAAAAACCAAAACTCTTTTGACGACTCAAACCCAAGGTAAAATGCTTCTTTTATAAAAGTAACGACAATAAAAAATACTTTTAGTAAAACTCCATTTTAATAAAAGTACTTGGGGACAGTTCTTTAAATACTTACACACATTTCTTTCTTTTTTTTTTACAACAGTTGAAACTTGCGTTAAGATGATATGCGTTTTTTTTTACTGACTAGGCTTTAAAGTGTTGTTAGTTCAAATACTGACACATGAGATGCTGTTGCTGTTAATCACAATAACTAATGTATAAAGCAGAAGGAGCCAAAAGCCAAAAATTTTACCTGAAATAAGTGAAATATTTTAAAAGAAAATATGTCGTTAGCAGAGTACAACAAAACATTGTTTCCCAAAAACTGGGTCGCAACCCTGAGAGGTCATCTCAAATCCTGTTTCCCAGGAGTTTAGGATTAATGTCTATTAACTTGGGTCACGAAGGTTAGTGACATTTACAATAAGGGTCCCCAGAAAAAAAAGTTTGGCAAACACTGCAATAAAGAGTACAAGAAGACTCTGCTCACCGGGGATGATCCCGTTGCTCCCACAGGTCAGAGAATTCTCTGTGCAGGAAGAGTGAGTGACAGCTGCAGTTGAACCTTCAACCAGAGGTGACCCAGCATCAACATGAACACTTATGCACTGATAGACCTTTAACATGCAGACAGGAATCTCCAATCTTCAAATGAGAAACGGCTAGTCGTGTGTATTAAGAGTAAGAAATGTAAAATAAATGAAAATATATATATTTTAAATTGTTCGTAGCATCCACAGGACAATACAATTATATTTCTAATTATATATATTTATATATATATATATATTAACTATTAAGTACTAGTTTTTGTATTTTTTTAAAAAAGAGAATTGAACCCTCACCATTTTTCTGCAGTGCGGTGGGTAACAGCCTCCGAGGAATATCTGGGATAAAGACCTGAAAGACGGTGAAACAGAGATAAAGTGGAGAAAGTACAACAGACGACACAATGTTTTTATTCCTGGGCGGAGCGGAAGGGGAGTTAGAGGGTTGTTGGACTTGTTGTGCAGGTAAAAGTGTCAATTATGAAATTATTTATTTTGGATCAAAGAAGAAGCAAAGGAGAAAATTCGGACAGATCATGCACCAGATAAGAAACCGACCGCAGAATGAGAGGGTTAAGAAAGGGGAGGAGGAGGAAGCTGCGTGGAAAATATGAGTGTTTTATAATCAGATAATAGATAAGAAAGTCTCAACTAGGGTCAAAAACAGTTGAAGTAAGTCACTTTAAAACGTTTGAGTTGTTTACCCGGACTGACACAGTATTTTAATAAGCGGTGTAAATAGCCCGGGTTCAGTAATGTACACGAGAACTGCAGCGTGGGTCGTGTTTTCGTGTTCGCCTCCTCACCTCTGAAGTGTTGGGGTTGCTGTTGATGAGAGGCTCGCTCTTGTTTTGTACTTCCGTCCACATTTCTGCTAGCGTCACACTTCTCTCTTCCTAGATAGTTTAGCTCGTTTTCCTTAATACAAACATACAAACATGCACTCCCTCTCTTAAACACGAACACACTTCAGCTGTTGTCTGGATCTCCTGCTGCGTTCAGGCGCTTCTTTGGGAAATCTGGATTTATCACATTCTCACCACACGGTGTGTCTGCTCACGTGCTGCATTCAGGTAGCGAGTATTCAAGACAATGAAGTTATCGATTGCTAAAAAAAAGAAAAAGAAAAAAAAAAGTAGTTCACTGGTTTGGTGACTGTGAAGTTTGTTTTTATTTGCATATTCGACGGCGTGGTTTGCAACACAAATTGAATACAAATTAATACTTCGAACCAAACTGGACTCATCAAAGGTTCAGACATTTTCTATTCTGCATCAAAAAGCTAAAGATATTTTATTGGGAAATATTATCGAATTTACATCCCTCGTTATATCCACACCTTGAATAATAAACATTATTTTATTTATAACATTTACGTTATTATTACATCAGGTGTTGTTGACAATATGCAACGTTAAGAATGTATAATTAGTTTGTCTTTAACTGTTCATCATTTAGTACCAGAAGCAGAGCGCCTCTGCTTCCGGAAGTTGACCGGAAGTAACTCAACTGCTTATTTAACTATATATATTAACTATATTAATGGCGTTCAACAAAAAATGAAAGTACCTAAAACAAAGCCTCCGGAATTATGTATCCTGAAGATACGCGGGACTAGACTAAAATTACACGTTCACAAAGATAGTGTATTTATTGTCTGAAGACTTAACTCTTCCACAGAAGTCACTTAACACGATAGATATGTCCTAGTAAATATAAGTACACTCACTCTCATATTTGGACACGTCTTATTACTTCCAAGAGGAATGGTTTTGGAGGACGGAAGTTAATTTAAATTGTTTTTATTTATTTTTTGTGTGTAACATTTATTAATGGTTAATGTCAAGATAATCCCCAATCTTTATGGCGTTTGCGTGGTCGTGTTATTTTGTATTGACCCCGCCCTCCTATTCTAGGGTTGGCTAAAATTTACTTCAAATACAAACTACTCATACAGAGGAAAAACACCTTTATTAGAACTTATTTTGTCTTAAAATAAAATCTGCTGATCATAGTCACATAGTAAGTACTACTGATCAGCAAAATATCTCCATCAATACCTACAATATAACAGTACAATGTAGTCCATTAACAGAAAAACTTTTTTTTTTAAATAAATTTAAGAAATACCATCCACAAACTGGCGTCATTAAGGTTAAGAGGATAAAATGACAAAGTTGAATGTACAACGTTTCTGGGAAATATATCAATTTATTCGCTCTGCGTTGCACTGCGACACCAACAGTCTGCAGTGATATTGCACAAACGTTTACACCGTAAAAGGAGATAGCAAAATGTAGACACTCACAAAAACACACAGGCACTCAACATCAATGCAGTCTGCAGATAATGTGTGTTCAGCAAATTGTACACATATTGTCAAAGAAATCTAAAAAAAAATCTAAAATACACACAACCAAAAACGTGTCTTCATTTTAAACTTATCTGTATTTAGTGAAGGAATAATTACCATTCAGACGACATTGTCACAAATGTAAGCAGTGTCATGTCTGCTGAGAATGACATTTGAATTTACACAGCCCATAAAGACTAGAAACAGTCAGAGAACAGAGAATTAACCCACACAGCAAGTTCACAAAAATATCATGGTAAAATGTAAGTAAAGAGTAAGTGAACAGATGATTTAGGTGGTGGTGTAGCTTCAACAGTTAAAAGAATGGTACAGTACACAGAGCAATGGAGAAAACAAATCGACACGTTAGATGGTGATTCTCACACAGCACAGGTCGTTTACATAGTCATCCCACAGCAATAAGGCTGCATTGATTGAGAAACATCTTTATATATACATATAACCATCTCATAATTTAAAACTCATTTCAATCACACAATAACACGCAATCACCCAAAGTGGGAATGTTGCAGATGTTTAATATAACACTATGAGACTTGAGAGAAGCACACAATTTGTAGAATTGAATCCAGTATTGCAAAGAATAGTTTAAAATTAGAATTAAAATCCCAAGACGTCTGGATGTCCTGTGGTCAAACTGCTCTGCGACATTGACATCAGCGTGGTGGGACAGAACTCACTGAGGCTCAGTGGAAACGGTTAATAAACAGCGCCATCTAGTGATCATGAAGTGATCACGTCTGCGGTGAAAACGGTCAGATTTAACGTTTTCGCTAAACAGTGACACGCTGCAAAAATGTTACATAAGCCTGTGGATTTGTCGAAGTATCCCAGAAGCAGAAGCACGTCTATAGTTAATACTCTGTCGAAGAAAGATTTTAGATTATTCTATTGGGATGTAAATCAATCCAGGTAATATTCAATGTTCTGAAGATAAAACATCACTAATGCGTCACACAGGTCCGTCCTCCGCTAGAACAGAGACACCACACAGATGATCACCCCTTAAAAAGGTCAACAGCTACTACAGATTTTTCTCCTCCCCCTGACCAAATCCCATTAATCCTTGAGCCCAGTCACTGTCCAGACAACCACCTCCCACTATTATTTTTCTCCCATCCAGTCCCCCCCTCGCCTCCCATCCCTGTCAAAATCCCCATCCTTGGTGTTGAAAACTGGTGACCAGTGGAAGATGGGAGATGTAGGAAAAGCAGAAAGGCAGAGATAAGTGTGTCCATGGAAATGAGGCAAGTGACATCACATTATTTCACAGCACGAGTTCTGTTTCCGCGCCTGTGGAATTGACACAGACACACACTTAGAGCTGAGCGGTGGCCACACACGTGTCGTTATTTAAAAAGTGAGAAAATGGCTGCCAGTACTCACAGTTTTGTAGAAGGCCTTAGACTGGTTTCCCAGGTGTTCTGACTTTGCCACGAGGTCGTCCAGCTTCTCTCCTCTTTCCAAAAGGCTCTCCATGGTGTTGTGCTACAAAAAAAACAAAAAAAAAAACACTTTTGCTGAGATGCTAAGTGTTTCTGATTTTAATTACTAAAACACGTGAAGACAAATCTCCCATGTGTCTCCCACCATTTTTGGCAAGTTGTATTATTATTATTATATATTTATTGAGGAGAGTTATGTTTCAACCCTTAAAAACAAACAACTTTGAAATTTTAACCAAACGTCAATAAAATGTTTTTCTTTTCATTCCCAAAACCATTTATTTTTTAAAGGATTAGCCTCCATAAAAAATGCTAAAGAGCAGGTTGCGACCTGGTGTAAGAGTTGAAAGAAAATTGTACAAAAAAAGGTATTCTTACTGGGCGTGACAATATGTTAATTAAACTTGAATGAAGGATCAAGAGTTTCTGTGGTATTTTACCAAAATTATCTTTGTCTCATCCAACTCTGCCTGCACTTTGGTCATTGCATCTGCTTCCTTGGGGTTCTGGGAAGAACAAGCATAAGATTAAAAAAAACATAAAATCTTAAAAAACAAAACGAAACAAAAAACTCCACCAATCTTTTAGGTTAAATTAAATCAGCAACAAACATTCTTGAATTTCCTCTTATGTGTTTATCATGGCAACATTAAAGAACATATCAGCATCATATAAAAACTTCATAAGGGAAGCAAAGACAGTTTTTTTTTTTTATTATAATATTGTAATTAACAGATTTGATAAACACTGACCTGGTATTTAGCGAGGTGAATGTCTAAGGCTTTGTAGTTTATGGATTCAGGATTACCAGAGGGCCAGTTTATACTGTCCACCTGCCTGGAAAACTCATCAAGCACCTGAAACAAAATCTAATTTAATTACCTTTTCACAATTTAACCCATATGATGAAGCGTAGAAGAATTTCATTCTCACTTTATCCAGCAATGTAAAACAGACTCTCTGTGGGTATTCTGTATCTGCGATGACCACTGCACTCAGGTTGTCATTTCTCACATACACATGACACAGGTACTCTGAAAAAAAATTAAAACAAAAACATCACTTCCTGTTGTAAAGGCAGGTGCACTTTGTTATATATATAAAAAAAAAAAGGCAGAAGTAAAAGTGAAAGTTCAGGTAAACAATGTCAACTGTAAAACTGCCCAAAATTAGAATAATTGAACACATTTGACTTTTTAACAGTATATTCACTACTGATTAATAAACAGCATGGAATTAGACAAGAGACTAGCGGACTAGAGATGCAAGTTCTGCTTTAAACAAATGAATGGATTTTTATTTTCACCCTGTTCCTTGACTGAGGCACGACTTCCTTGTGTGGTCCGTTCAACAATTAAGGCAGTGGTGAAGGTCATGAACTCCTGAATACTAAGAACAACAGAAAAGAGAACAATGTCAATCTGTCATTAATAGAGTGAAACAATGATGAGAATAATCACTGATAATTATAATTATCACATGAAAAGACACAACAGTGATGTATGTCAGTGTTTCCCAAACTTGTTTTCTGGTGACCCATATTTTAAAATTCATAAACCAATCATAGAAAACCTCAAAACATGTCTTCAAGTCATATTACTTCTTTTACTTTCATTTACTTCGTTTGTATTTTATTATACTGTATTGAAACCATTGGCTGTGGTCCTCAAAAACTGAGAAAACAGAATCTTGAGTTTCGTTCATAGTTCCTATCCATCATCTTTTACAGGCAACGTCTATTTACTTTTTAGCTTATTTGATTTTTATTGATTATATGATGGATATTATTAATGGGTGTATTATTACATGATATAGGTGGTTTGATATAGAATCCGTCAGTCTTACCTTGACCGTTGAAAGAAACTGAAGGAGGACAGATCATATGCTGCCTTAAGGAGGTGGGATTTGGTTGCCCCTTTGTGAAGGATGCTGAGGCTGTACAGCTTCATGTTGTTGGCGCTGTTTTGAGTCACTTCTCTTGTTCGTCAGCTCTCTCTCTCCCACTCCCGCTGTCAGTCACATACACTCACACAAACAATGCACTAGTGTTCCAACTCTGTAAATGACATGTGCAAAATCACATGAGACTATTATCCAGCTAAGGCGAACAGCCTGTCGCTAACACCGCTGCTAACTAAACTTGTGCTAAGGTAGCCGCCCTGCTAAAGCTAAAAGCTAACTAGTTGTGAATAAACATACATAAAGACTTATATTGTTAATAGGGTTACACTAATATTACAAAATCAGACATGTTCGGCATTTCACAGTGCAATAATGGACATGGCAATACGCTTTTGAGCGTTGTTTACACTCGTAAAAACAAGTCAAGCACAGTTAGCTGCATATATTATCCGGCTGTTCTCGAGGCCTCAGTCAACTTACCGCAAATTTCAACAGCTAACAGTTCGATTCCCGAAGTCGAAACTTTCTGTTCGACACTTTAGGGTGTGGAAACAAACGTCCAAATACCTGACTGAACAACAACCGGTGGACGACAACTCACTTATTTTCGCCACAGTGTTAAGTGACCAATCACCACGTCACGATCCTTACCAGGTCCAACGGCATAACGGTTCCCGTGGAAACAAAGTTAAATTATTTTCATGGTTCCGGTGGAGCGTGAAAAGCACAAATTTAACTAGAATTACATAAAAACAAAAGAAATCACATGAAAAATAAAACCTTTTTGTTACTTTCCCCTCATTATTAACAGTTTTCCCGTGTCATTGTATTGTTTTGATATTACCAAGGGCACTGAAAATGTTTGTTGGCACCACCTTCCCATCTGCTATTTATTTACCATACAGATGTCAGTTAGCACAGTTAGGCACTACATTGCAGTGGTTGAAGAGCCACATCTGATTCAGTAGCCAAAGGTAGCACCCTGTTCGAACACAACTTTCAAGGCACTGCTTCTGACTTGTCTTAAAATGTACATAGTTCAAAATACAGGAATATTTTATTACATACAAGATTATTATTCATTACCAATGGGTCAGAAGGGACACAGTATGAAAACATTGACAATACACATTGCTGTGAATATACAGTTCATGTAATTATATTTTTGTTTTCTCTAAAAAAAGAAAAAACAAGTCACCCTCTACTGCCCTCACCTGATGATGCTTTATTTTTGGTTATTTTGCTCCATTTAACAATGTCCTCGGGCCACTTAACTCAGTGGTTAAGTGTTTTCCATGTCAGAAGTGTGTCTGTAATTCATTTCCAAAGAGACACAGTTTGGCATGGAAACGCATAAGCCTTCCATGCATCTGTGCTGAAACTATATATTTTTTTCTTCATTTCCTAGTTGAACCAATGACGGTAGGACGATCAGCTGGGTCCTGGAGGCTGTCTTGATCTTGACGTTTTAAGACAGGAGATTTCTTTTTTTATTTATTTCTGGAACAAAGGCTTGGATGGAAAATCCCGTCTACCTTTTCCTCTAACCGTCTGTCAGAGAAAACAAGAAAATGGAATACCTGGCGATTGAAATTCAAGAATGAGGACACATCCTCAGAATTTAAAACAGGCTATTTCTGCTAGAGATAAAAACTGAATTATTTAGATTATTATTTAGAATTCTCTATTAGCACCTAGAAGTCAACTGATCAACAAAATTATTTTTATTTAGATATACATTTTTTTATGCTTTTGGGAATTAAATATAATGTAAGCATTTTCTTTATCTTAAACTTTGTATATATATATAGTTTAAAAAAAAAAATCGTAAATCATACATGGAAATATAGCCAAAAGTAATGTTTGGGCGGTAAAACGTGTGAAAAAACTCATCAGGACAAATTTGGGAATTTCCACTCTTACATTTTTGGAAAGAACGAATGAACTTTCATCGCAAAGCCCTGATGTTCGGCATTCAGAAATCCTTGTGATGGAGAAGGTAAATAACAATATATGTGAATATAAGTGTTTATATGTACACATGTATGTATGTGTAATTATTCCAATTGGAATAGTGCCTATTCCAATTGGAATTATTTTAAATAAATACCAGGGAAGAAAACTTATTTAGATAAAGTAATCAAATTGCACATAAGGCAACTGATTTAATAAATGATGTCATTGGAGTGACTTATTGACCTTTTGAATTGACCTATGGCTATGCAGATGCCAAAATGTATTAAATCTTCAACTCAAATGTTAAGGATAAAAACGTCTGCTAAATGCATACATGTAAATGTAACAAAACCCACTGTTTACATGAATATAAGTCAAAGACACAGCTACAACAAATGCATCCGGAGGCTACATGTGCCGGAGCCGAGATAAAAGCTTTCCGCTTCACTGTGCTAACCTTAACGAATGGGCTCACGTGGCGCAGTGAGGATCTGTGACACAAATTCCTGGATGTACAGTATGAGGTAATAAACCGCCAGACTAACAGATCTTTACATCCCCCTTTTCTTGCTATCGAGTAACCTGTTGACATACAGCACAGGAGACAGCTGGCTGAATGGAGCTCCATCAGGTGGCGCCACATGCAAACAAGGCTGGTTAAATTAGGCGGATAATCAGCCATTGACAAGTACTTGGCCCACATTCAACTCACAGCTGCAGATACAGTACATGGTACTACACGGAGTATTTGTGCCTGTTTAAAATGTATTATTCAAATTTCAAATTTATATATATATATATATATAAATTTGAATAATACATTTATATATGTATTATTTATAATAATACATATATAAATACATATATATATATACTTATTTATAAATACACATATATATACTTCATACTTCATACTTCATATATATACATATATACATGCATATATGTATATCTATATATATATAGTACATGCTACTACACAGAGTATTTCTGCCTGTTTTAAATTTATTTTTCTAATATTATATATGTGTGTATATACATATACATATATACACATATATACATATATATAAATATATATATATTTATGTATTTCTCTCAGACCCAGGGAACTCAACAACATGTTTTTTGCACCAACCATTCGTTTTTGAGGCGACAATAGACTGGACTAAGGAACAATTATTTTTTGACGTAGCCCCAAGCTAAAATGGTATGAATGTCCATCACTGTAGCATGACGGTTTCAAATTACAGAAGTTAAAGACCGTGACATTAACACACATTAACCCTTTGACCTCTACACATGCAGATTTCTGTTGACTCTGTACAAACATTTACCACTGCCTAATAGAGCCTATTAACTACATGACATCATCAAACATAGACGTTAGAGTTGGTGGTCAAACTCAACTGCATTTACACATAGACATGTGAATTGTATATACAATATATAGAAGAAACTACATTATTACATACAAAATGTATTTCCAGAATCTTTCTATATTGAATTATGCAGCACGTCTTGGGTCAGTGTCACCATTTCTATTTACATAGAATTAGACAGAAGGTCACTGTTACCCCAGTGTCCACAGATCAGAGCCAAAAAAAGCTCTGACCTGTGGACAAGTACACACTGAGGATGATAAGAACAGGAGGTCGTAACCTGCCGCATGCTATTATTAATCATTTGCGGTCATTCCTCCCTCATTGTTGCTAATTTTAGACTAATTTGTTAAACACATATATACATAGACCTCTGATCTAAAACAGCAGTATTGCTAAAAAAAGACAGGATTACATCACTGGGGTCATTTGCTTTTTTCTTTTCGGCATGTTGCTATGTTGTAATGGCTCTTAGATCAAAGGTCAGATTTTTTTAAAGATTAAGATTAAGATTAAGACAAGAAAGATTCTTCAATTCACATGCAGTTCCTGATGTTTGTCTTGATGTCTTTCTTAAATAAAAGAGAGGATTATGACATAAAGAAGAGAAAAAGAGAAATTTAACAGTTGTTATATCTATGATAAATATGTTTACAGTGTGAGGTTAGAGTCACATACAGGATTTTCACTTCTTAAAAAAATATATAAAAATAATATTATGGATGTATAATATAAAAAATTACACGTCATAAAAAGTAAACATTTTAGTCATTTTTAATAGATTTTTAAAGAAAAAAAACCCTGAAAGAAAAACTGTAACTTAATGTTGATGAGATAGTTGCAGTATCTAAAATAAAATATATAGTATATAGTTAGCAGTGTATTTGACATCTATTTGTAGACTCTTTATGACAAATAAAGAGCTCTCGTCACGCAGAATATTTACCAGAACCTGGATTTTAAACTTTGTACAGTGCCCTAAATTTGTGTGTTCATAGGGCTAATGGGGTGATGTTTTTTGGAGAAAGAAGGGTGGGCTTTGCTGCATCCAGCCCCCTTCAATCTGGGCATAAAAACATCAGGAGTTCTCCTCCAGAGGCACACGCACACACACATTCACACACAGCCACTCACAGAGTAAACAGGTAAGGATGCCTTGTGCCAGCTCTCGTCTCAGTCAGATGGTGAGGAGCCCATACGGCTACAGCTACACGGCTGATGAAATCTACAGGGTAAGATGGGTGACTCTGGTGACAACAACAACAACAACAGCAACAACATCTCTTATTGTTACGGTAACAGTGAATCTGATCAGGAGTGTGTGTGACCTCTGCGGCGCTGCTCTGCTCTCTTCTCATCGCAGGTCAAGCAGATCCTTTCAGAGTTCAGACTGACTAAAGAAGAGCTCAAAGAAGTCATGAAGAGGATGCAGCAGCAAATGGACAGGGGACTGCGTTTGGAGACGCATGAAGAGGCCAGTGTCAAAATGCTCCCGACGTACGTGTGCTCCACCCCCGAGGGTTCAGGTACATTCTTTAATATTCATATATTAGGGTGAATCATGCCAGAGAGAGCAGCAAGTGCTAAAAGTTAGCCCAAGTTTCAATGAAAAGTTAAAAGAAAAAGGGCATCAGGGTTGGCACATACAGTATATAATGACATACATATGTGTGTGTATATATGTCTACATATATGTATACAAATAGATCTACAATATTTATACATATATCATTTCTATATTTATATATAATAGATGCATATATATACACATATATGTACACACATATATGTGTATATATGCATCTATTTATACACACATACATGTATGTAGATGATCAGTATTATATTAAACAGCAGAATGAGTAAAGTATCACAATAATTCTTGAAAACCAAAATGGGAACACACTAATAATATAGGGTCTGGTCACATGATCAGGTTCAAGCAACAAAAAGTGTGTGTGTGTGTGTTTGTCCTGTTAGAGGTTGGTAATTTCCTGGCACTGGACCTGGGAGGAACAAACTTCCGTGTCATGCTGGTCATCGTGGGTGAGGATGAGGAGAGGGGATGGAAGGTGGAGACCAAGAACCAAATGTATTCCATCCCTGAAGACGCCATGACCGGGACGGCAGAAATGGTCAGTAAATCGCAGTAAAAAAAACATAAAACAAAAAAGATCATTAGAATAATTAAACATTTTCAGATTTTTTTGAAAAATGTTTTTGACTTTAAATGATACTCAGATCTCAGAATGACCACATCATTTCTGTGTTCTTTTAACAGCTGTTTGACTATATAGCCGAATGTATGTCCGACTTCCTGGACAAACACCACATCAAGCACAAAAAGCTTCCTCTGGGTTTCACTTTCTCCTTTCCAGTACGACACGAGGACATCGACAAGGTACAAAAACTTCACTCTGAAGTACACAGCAGCGGCCGTACGGTCGGTTTACTGATGGCTGTATTTGTAAAGGTTCTGATTGGTTCATCAGATGTTTGTCTCTCTGTTCACAGGGAATCCTGCTCAACTGGACCAAAGGCTTCAAGGCCTCCGGAGCAGAAGGGAACAATGTTGTGGGTTTGCTCCGAGATGCAATCAAGAGACGAGGAGTGAGTTTCATTCAATTATTTATAATCTGCACCACTCTGTCGTCACATCGTGTCACATGACCTCAAAAAACCACCAACCAAAACTGGGTCATGGGACTCATTTAAAAAGGGTTAAAAACCCACATTAAATTTTTACATTTTTTTAAATAACAATGTCGTTATCATTTATCACCACATGGTGTCACTGCACTTAACGCAGATTTTACATTTTAAACTTCAGTATGATCAGTAGATGACGTGAACTGCAAACATGTGCAGAAGTGGATGATTGTCATAACATATTGTAGTAACATTGATCTTTTCATTCGGGGCAGTGGTGGTTTAGTGGTTAAGGAAGTGGACTTGGGTCCAGAAGGTTTCAGGTTTGAGTCCACCAGCTGCCAAGTTAGCACTGAGCTGCTCTGAGCATGGCACCGTCCCCACTCACTGCTCCCCTTAAAGCTGCCCACTGTTCACTTTGGTGATGGGTTCAAAGCAGAGGTCACATTTGGCTGTGTGCAGTGGTGTGCTGTGTCACAATGACAAGGAGTTCACTCTCTTCTTCTTCATTCAGGACTTTGAGATGGACGTGGTGGCCATGGTGAACGACACAGTCGCCACCATGATTTCGTGCTATTATGAAGACCGCAGCTGTGAGGTCGGGATGATTGTTGGTAAGAGATGATGCGGTGAACACATTGTAACATGTTACTTACACTCACACTGCTGGTCTGAGATCAGTGTCCTTGCTTGACCAGGTACTGGCTGTAACGCGTGTTACATGGAGGAGATGAGGACGGTGGAGCTGGTGGAAGGAGAGGAAGGACGTATGTGCGTGAACACAGAGTGGGGGGCCTTTGGAGACAAGGGGGAGCTGGAGGACTTCAGGTTGGAGTACGACAGAGTGGTGGACGAGACCTCGATTAACCCTGGACATCAGCTGTGAGTCTCTGCCTGATTTTTTGATCAATCATGTTACTGTGGCAGACTTGGCCGAACCCTCATCTGGGGTCTCTGTGAAGGTGCTAAGCTACCAGCTGTTTTCTCATCAGGATGTTTGTGAATGCCATGGCCTTCATACGTCATTGGCCTGTCAGCAGCTGTGGATGTTAGATTAATGGTCTCTCTCCACTCGTCACGGTGCTTTTTCAGCCTAATGGTTGTTTGCCTTTTTGCACCGTCAGCCCCCCTATTCAGCTCCACTGAGAAAACGCTGATGCCATTCCCGGACTTGACGTTGTCTGACTCACCCACTCGGCCAGTTCGGGGAAATATGTTGTTTGCTCGTGTGTTGAATGATTCACTAATCCCTCTTCCTTCCTCCGTTCAATCATCTTCTCCTCAAATCATTTCCTTACAGTACATTGCTTGTTTTGCACTCAGCTCTCTGTTTTGGTGTCTCCTGCTGCAGGTACGAGAAGCTGATCAGCGGTAAGTACATGGGTGAGCTGGTCAGACTTGTCCTGATAAAACTGGTGAATGAAGAGCTGCTGTTCAACGGTGAAGCGTCAGAGTTGCTGAAGACACGGGGCAGCTTCGAGACACGTTACGTCTCACAGGTGGAGAGGTGATTATCGGGCGCTGCGGTCTAACAAAATAGACAGAATATACAATATAACAATAGGGGCAATAATATATAAGCAACAATATAAGTCAGATATTACAACAATTGTAAATAAGACAATTTAATGTAAATGTTGATCAGGATTTTTTTCTATTATTATTACAAGTATTATTATTAAAAATGATATATGTATAAATAGATGCATATATACACATATGTGTGTACATATATGTTTATATATGTATCTATTATATAAATATATAAATAATATATATATAATTAAGGCAATTTGATGTAAATGTTTTTCAAGATGTATTATTATTATTATTAAATGCTAATATTTATTTAGTTTGTCTTCTGGTAATTCTTATCAATCAGAATTATCTTTCATTACTTTGACATTAACTTATTTTGCTAACCATTAGGCTGTACCTAGGCTATTTTGCAGTTATTTCTATTGGGCTTCCTTCTTTACCCAGTAAAAAGATAAAAGACATAGATAGGGATAAAAAGATTTTTTAGGGGAGAGGGGTCGTTTTGCATCATGTCCCCCAGGAGAATAATGTCTATTGACTTGGGTCGCAAATTTTTCTGACTTTTAAAATATGGATCCCCAGAAAAAAAGTTTGGGAAATATAGAATAGTTACCTTTGTATTTTTAGCCGTAAATATCAGTGAAAGAACATTTGTCCCTTAGCTATTTTGTCCCCTTCTCACTTTTTTGTGTCTTTTTGCAGTGACACTGGTGACAGAAAACAAATCTACAACATCCTCTCCTCACTCGGCGTTTTGCCCTCAGAGCTGGACTGCGATGTTGTGCGTCTGGTGTGTGAGAGCGTTTCCACTCGCTCTGCTCACATGTGCAGCGCAGGGCTCGCTGGTGTGATCAACCGAATGAGGGAGCGGCGCTGCCAGGAACTCCTGAAGATCACAGTGGGAGTTGATGGTTCTGTCTACAAGCTGCACCCATGGTGAGAAAATACCTGTGTTTGAAATAGTTACAAAGTGTTGAGTTAAAAAAGAAAGAGCGATGTCTCCCTGTTAAAATTGAATATTAAAAACTAAATAAGTTACTAATACACAGCTGATACCCATCATTTACATATGCTGCAGGAAAATGTTTTAAATTCACCAGAGCACCCTGAAGTTGAAATACCATCTCAGTACTCGAAAGGCATTCAAATAGATTGTAAGGGACTGTAGACAAATTAATTTAGTTAATTAATTTAGATCAGGAATGAGGTCATTAGAGGGACAACACAGACAGGAAGGTTTGGAGAAAAAGCTAGAGAAGCCAGATTGAGAGGGTTTGGACATGTGCAGAGGAGGGACAGTGGAGACATTGGGTGAAGAATGTTAGAGATGGAGCTACCAGGTAGGAGAAAGAGAGGAAGACCAAAGAGGAGATATATGGATGTAATGAGGGAGGACATGCAGATAGTTGGAGTCAGAGTAGAAGATACAGAGAACAGGGAGAGATGGAAATCAATGATTCACTGTGGCAACCCCTGAAAAAAGGGACAAAGTCGAAAGAAAAAGAAGAAGAATTTAGTTTAAGGAGAATGGCTTCACTGAAGTTTTTTAATCAAATGTTCTGCAATGCACTGACTCTGTGAAGCAATTTTTTTATTTTAGCATATATTCTTTAATAACGCCATCATTTTGATTACTGACGAATAAAAAACATGTTTTTTTTTGTCTTTTTTGGCAGCAATATCTATATATAAAAAAGTTTTGTCATATTTAAAAATACTGATTACTCTCAATTAAACATGATAAATAGTGATTAATTATGATCGTAATTAATTGTGATTAATTACAACTAATTGTGATTAAGCCACAACTAATCAAATTCATTCTGTGAGGCATTTGACTATTATAATAATAATATAAAATAATACTCGAGACTTTGACAACGTTCTTTCTTTATCTCAGCTTCCGTGACCGGTTCCACAAAATGGTCTGGGACCTGACGCCTCACTGTGAGATCACCTTCATCCAGTCTGAGGAGGGGAGTGGACGTGGAGCTGCTCTTATCTCAGCAGTGGCCTGTAAGATGGCTTCATGACAGACTAAAAAGCAGCTGTACATTGAGCTGTTTCCCTGCAGGACAGTGGTGAAGTTGGTGTGAACCTGAGAACCTGAGAACACTGGTGACATGTACTGTAGTCCACAGACAGCAGCTGTGACTCTTACCCATGTCAGAGAATTGGTCATCAGTGAACTGGACACTCATGGTTTAAACTTGTTTATTGTGATACCTAAATGATTAGGTGGCCCCTAGTGTGTAAGAGTCTGTTGATGTTCAGGTGTAGACCGATCCATCTCAAACCTGACTGATGTGGTATTGAAGATAATACATTATAATACCAGTGAACCTGGTCCATGCTTGTAAATACTCGTGTATATTATATGTAATAATTGCTGTACTGTGCAGTAATTTCTGCCTAATTGTCTGGTCATCAAAAATTTAAGTTCAATGGTTAAAACTCTGTGTTCAATAGTCAGTGTCATTCCTTTAAACACACACACACAAACACACATCTATATGAATAATGAAATGTACTTTGGAATAGGCACAACTGTATAGTAAATAAAGCATCGGCATATGTAAATAAACTGTAATCTGTGATTTTAATCTTTTATGTACAATTTCAAATATAACGAAGATAACCATACAGAGCTAAAGAAGCTACACAAAAGCAAAAATATTGAATAGAAAATACTTAAAATTGGGCTCTTACAGTTAGAATACAGTTCTAATTCATCTTTAAGTCAAAAGAATTCAAGTCTTTTCTTAACGTCTTAATTCACAATCTGGAACAGCAGTATGGAATGGGCTTCTATCACTGCATCTACACAACTTTCTCAAGGAGAAATGTGTGAGACTAGATTATATCTGGTTGCTGTCTACATTAATTATTGTTTGAAAATAAAGCCTGAAATTATAAAGACCAGTACAGTTTAGTCTAATGTCCTTCCTTCAGTCGCCCCTTTCTGTTGCCCCTATCTAGTTTTTCCTCCCCAGAGGAATCCTTTCTGCTTCACCTCTTATCAGGACTCAGAAGTGGCACACACACACAGCTGTGGCCATGTAAGGGGCTGCGCTGCCCACTACGGGCTATTATAGGACAGCAGCTGATAAGATGGGATATACAAAAACCCACCACAGCATCGCACCTCTGCCGGGAGTCACTGTTCCATCAGTCAAACATGGTAAGTCATCATCGTCAAGTTGGTTATAATTAATTTAGCCGTTGGTGTTTTTTTTAAATAATTTATTCATTCATTCAGCCGTTTGCTTAAGAATTGTATTTACTTTTAACTGCTGTGTTTACATTCTTAGGCGAGCAAGAAAGCCTCAAATAAAAGACAGAGAGGAGGACAGAAGTCCTGCTCCAATGTCTTTTCCATGTTTGAGCAGTCCCAGATACAGGAGTTTAAGGAGGTGCTGTACTGTCTGTCATATGTACAATGACACACAGAGGAACGTTAATGAAAAGGAGGAATATTAAGGAAAGGGTTTTTTAGGTTCCACAATCTCTACCAAAGGTTGTGTATTGTAAATTGTAAAGACATTAATTTTTAAACTCAATGTCATGTTAAGAAGTGCTAAGTGGATTTTAAACAAAAAAGGACACTGTGGCTAATATCTTAGCAATATCTTTTTTCTGAAATATTGCAATTTTTTTTTACATTTCTGTGAGACACTAATTTGAAATGTGTAGCTTGAAATGTGGGAAAAGAAAATACTTTTTTAGGACTGATCACCGTGTGTAATAATATATAAATATTATTTTGTACATTAGATATCAAGCCCTTTTGTTTCTTGCTTATAACACAGGCTTTTGGTTGCATCGACCAAGACAGAGACGGAGTCATTAAAAAGCAAGACCTTAGGGAGACCTACGGCCAGCTGGGTATTTATTTTTATTACTATTATTATTATTAGTAGTAGTCGTACAGGTCATATTAGTGGTTATAGTAGAATGTTTAATTTCTGGGATACACTTTATCCATCCATCCATTTTCATCCGCTTATCCGTTACCGGGTTGCGGGGGCAGCAGTCGCCACCCAAATCACATTGCACCGTACCTAAACCTTCCTGCGGGTGGTGAGTCCACTGGAAGGTACCAATCGCCCTAACCGGGATTTGAACTTGCCAAGGAGGTGAATCCTGGGGTTCCACACCAATGACAGAGACATTGCCTCTGGGCCAAGGCGCCACTAGATACACGTTAATTATACACATTACAGTGTTCCTTGCTATGGGGTCTTCTTTTGCGGACATTCTGCAGCTCCCTACTGAGGTTTAAAATTTTGTATGGAGTAACTATTAGAATTAGGGTCATATGACAGGGATATTGGGGCATAGGAATGTGTTATGTAAAGTGCTCAAAACAAAAATAACTGTGTGTGTGTGTGTGTGTGTTAGGGAAGCTAAATGTCAAAGACGAGGAGCTGGATGAAATGTTGAACGAAGGGAAAGGTCCCATCAACTTCACTGTGTTCCTCAGCCTTTTTGGGGAGAAACTCAACGGTAAAAACATTTTACTTCTTTCCCCAAAATCTGTTCATGATTCTTGTTAAACTGAACTCTATATGTTGACCAATTTTACTCCCTGATCAGGTACTGATCCTGAAGACACCATACTTGCTGCCTTCAAACTTTTTGATCCAAACGGGACTGGCTTTGTCAATAAGGATGAGTAAGAGCCTTTATAATCTGTTGCTGACGTTTGTTTATTTACTTTTGACCACAAACAAGTGCTTAATTTCTGCAGGTTCAAACGATTACTGATGAACCAGGCCGATAAATTCTCAGCAGAGGAGGTTTGTATCTCCACACAGAGAGACGTTCACAGTAATCCTGTGGATAATCATTGTCACTTCATGTATCCGTAGGTGGATCAGGCCTTCACTCTGGCTCCCATTGACCCAACTGGTAACATCGACTACAAGTCCCTCTGCTACATCATCACACATGGAGATGAGAAAGAAGAATCATAACAAGCCTTTATAATAGGAGCGATTTGACTCAGAAACCTGAAAATGTGATAGAAAACTAGTAACACATTTTTTATTATCTATTCAATGGTTCGGCTGCTATAAATGGTGGTAATAAAATACTGAAAAACAAGTTTGTTTATAGCAGTTGGCTTCATAAGCACATTAATGTTTACGTATGACTAGTTAAACTAATTAATTCAACTAAAAAAAAGTTATCAACACTGTTATAAAGCTTTTCTCTTTATCAGGGTCATTGGGTCAGTCTTAGTACCAGAAACCCAGCCTGGAACAACCCAACCTGGGATATAGGTACAAGAGGTATCAAACCTGGAACATTCTGTTAGTACTGTAGGATTCCTTCCATTGCACTACTCCAGTTCCATGTGACCTCACTTGGTAAATATAAAACACACTTATGGTATCTAACTGCTTCCCAAAAAGAATTTCAGCCAGAAAGTTTTTATATCTTCTAAAGGCCTAAAGTCACACTCCAAGTAAGAATGTTTGGTAAAACTGTATTGTGGCACACTCCAACAAAGGATACTTCCAGACGTGTAAAAGTCATTAAACTTTATTTCACGTCTGAAAACACAGATACACAGACATCGTGAAATATGACCGAACAGTCCGACTCATTTGATAGACTCACAACTTTAGTTGTCTTAAACTTCAACAAGGTTAATAATAATTCAAAGCGGTATTAGCCTCGTTAGCTCGACCGACAACGTCTCACACAGTAACTCTGCGCACACCTAGTAAAACGTTTGATATTATTTACTTTACAATATACATACCTGTTTTTTTACACATACATACCGCTAACTATATACAGATTTGCACCACTATGGCCTACCTGTAAAGGCAGACACTTGAACGTCATTACTAGTGACCACTTTAATCGGTTTATTCGTTCGATTGGCGGCAGCAACTGAACCAGGAAGACCCTAAAGGTGCCTTCCAAATTGCCTGTGCAGAATTGCCAAAAACTTTGCCATCAGGACCCTTACGGCAGCAGTGCAGTAAATAAATATATTAATAAAATAAAATAAGATAAAATACAATGTATGGGGTAGTAAATAACTTTACTACTACTACTACTACTCTTTAATAGCTATTTAATAGTCATTAACAGTCCACCCCTAATACCCAACGGACCACACAGTATATTAAAGAGCCTGACAAACATACCCAGCAATTAGTTCCTTTAACATTTGTTTCCCAAAGAAATTATCTTAGAGAAAGAATAAATAAGAATGACTGTGCCAAAATCTGTGCCAAATCACATCCACAGTTTGTCCACTGTGGTGACCTCTGAAGAAAAGTGCAGCCAGAGGTGATCCTTCTTCCAGAAGAGCAGCTGTCTGTAGTTTTATCACATTTGCTGAGACTCTTACTGCTTCTCCATTCCTTTGTCAGGGATACTACATATTGTCATGCAGTATCCATGGCAACCGTGTCACGGATACTACAACGAACATTCCCATAAACTCCAATGCCACATTTTCCTACTCCCACAGCAAACAGCCAGTCAACGAGAAGCCATGAGAGTTTGTGGAGTTTTGCATAATTCCTCTCATTGCAAATGAGAAACACCAACAGAAACAGTTTACAATTTTTATTTAAACTTCTGGAATCTGCAGACTTCATTTTCGGCAGAGATGCCCATTGCATCTGGAGCTACAGGCAGGATGGACGTGAGCACAACATGGACACCAGATGGACAGAAGAAGAAGTCCACTTTCTCCTACTACAAACATGACTCCTATCTGCAACAGTGGGTACATTCTTTATCTACTAGTATTATTACATGGGAAGGATTAAGGTTGCTAATATACATTTGTTATGAAAAAGAAAACTGCGTTTTTTGACGTTTCTACCAAAAGGTACACATATTATTGGTTAATATTGTGAGGAAGTGTTTTTGTGAAATGTTAATTAAAGCAAGACAAGTCTTGATGAAGTCTACCAAATATAAAACAAAATACAAAATTCACCTTGGTGGTTTACACTTACAAAATATTATTATTATTATTATTAAAACCCTTGTCCAAATGCAAATTCCCAAAACTTTTAACTCTACAGTACTTAACATTAACCATTTATAAATCATGACTGTTATTATTTTGTGATTTACTTTGGGCTTTTTCCACTTTTATTTGTGTTTTTACACAAATTCAGGATTTTTGTCTTTGTTCGCAGCAGGGAATAATTAAAAAATGCACGATACAATTTTTTATCAGATCCTGTCAAAATGGTTTGATTAAGATTAAGATTAAAATGTCCCTTATTTAATGTTAGTAATATTCATTTAAAGGACAATGTGTATATTGATGTGTGTATTGAATATCTTGGTTATCAATTAACTCATCGATATTTTCCTATTTAGAGGAATCAAATGATAAATGGAATCAACGACAAATGAGCCCAAAAAACTGAGACATCTGTAATAAACACAACCGGAAGGTTGTTCAAAAGTCTTCACTCAGGGAAAATTATAGATGTGTTCAAGAGCAGACTGAGGATTCCTTTACTTTACTTTAGACAGAGTGAATTAACAGCAGTATATTTGTTATCTGAAGACTGAGGAAGGCACAAATCTGCCTCTTAAATCCACCACCACAACACTGGCTTCTTTCCACCGCGTTACTAGAAGGAACAGTCAGGAAGTCACAGTTTGTAGAACACCAAGGAATGCTGGCTGTCGTCCACCACTCACTGTGAATCAAAGTAAATCACTATATGCTGTTTTTTTCTTGAAGTTTCTTGACTGTTACTCACAATCATCATTTCCTCGTTGATGACATTCGCAGGTACGAGGAGCTCAAACTGAACAAGAAGAAGAAAAAAAGTCTGTTTTTCCAGGTGAGTCAACAAGACCAGGCTCATGTTTGAAGTGTCACTGTCACTGATTTGGCTGAAACTGTTTTTTTTGTTTTGTTTTTTTTTACAGATCACAGAGCAGAATAACCCTGATGGTAAGATACAACTCAATTGACATTTTATTTTTGTCACCATTTGCATAATTTCAGATTTTAAATCATTGTGTTTTTAATTTTTTTTATTTTAAGAGACAACAGATCAAAGCAGCGAGACTCTGACACCGGTCCGATCCAAAAAGTCACAGATGTGTGTTCTCCTTTAGGGTTAAAGTCTACTTTGAACTGTTATCATGAAGAATGCACTACCAACAATGGTATTTGCTCTTTTGAGACATTTGTGTAATCAAGAATGTTATGTCAATTATAGTAACGTCTTAAGAACAGTGTTTCGACGTACAACATACAAAAATGTTATAAATGTATATGACATAAATATAATGAATTTAGTTGCAATGTATTTACACACTGTGAAATCTGGGCCTGTTTAGTTGAAAACTATAGTTATAGTACTAGCAGGAATTGAAGAAAGATAGACACAAATATCTTCTTCAACATGTGTGAAGTTTATAGCTGCAATACAATAACAATAACAACTGAATGAGTTGAAAGGATGGTGCTGACAGGAGAAAGAATGCTATGCTATGTTAGGATAAAATCCAGCTTTTTCTTTTATTGTCAATCAAAATCAGTGCATCACAATTATGGTACAGTCCACAAAGTAAACCTTAAGTCTTAACCAAGTGATCAATGCCCTAAATACCTTTGAGTGTCACAGTCCCTTTGCACAAAAACCAGTGCAGACGTTATCATCACCTGAATAAATTACCCATCTGTCTGCATCCACACGAAACTACAAATACATCTGTACATTTGTTTGCATTCAAAGTAAGTGTAAACCAGTGTTTAACATTTTAGTGTCACATAGTATGATTAAAAAAATGTATTTAAAACATTTTGTGTAATATGTGATGTTTGCACCGTGTGTTATATTCCAATTTAAAATATTATTATAAAAAATAGCTGCATAAATTATCCAACTTTGAACATTAAAATGGTCATGTCTCCAGTGTCGTGTCTGCGATCACAGGCTTTTTTCTTCTTTGTGGTTAAACACACCTAAATCCTTAGTAAAATACAACAATGCCCTTATAGGTTAAGATTAAACCTTTCTGTACATCTATCTGAACCAAGGTTTTCATATTGTACACTGGGTTTACTGGACAGTGCTGTGCTCCGTCCTGTGTCCAGAGAGGGCTGAGGTTTGTCTGGGCTGATGGCGGTGGAGGAGGGTCTTCAGTCACTGTTACTGTCGTCTCCAACTACCATGCTGCTGTATTTCTTTTGCTGCTGTTCCTTAAACGTCTCCTTCACTTTGGCCCTCTTCAGGCCTCCATCCCTGGGGGAGAGAAACATACTGTATGAGGGTCCATGTATTTCCAACCCTATACAGCATTGTTTCCCAAAGATGCAAAAGGTTTTTTTGGGTCCTTGCATCATGTTTCCCATGAGTTTACGAATAATGTCTATGGACTTGGGTCATGAAGGTTTGTGACTTTTAAAATATGGGTCCCTGGAAAATATTTTTGGGAAACACTGATTTATAGTATTTGTATTTTTGGAATTTTATTTTCATGTAAAAGTCCATTTAAATAAAATTGACCGGATTATTCTTGTTATCAGACTGTGGAGATAAATCCGTTTCCTTTCTTTTTTTGTCAGGCCTCATTCTCAGGGAAAACGGTTCCATGGAGAAAGAGTTGGAGGAACTCAGACGCAGTCGCCCCAAGTCGTCAGTAGGCGGCGATTTTACATTTAGTGACTGTTTCTATTTTACCCGAAGAGGGATTGAAAGCATCGTTGAGGATGAGGTAGAACATTTTTACTTTGACATGAATGAACTAAGTTAGTTTTGACTCCGCACCCACGAGTGACTTGGGTCGTGAAGGTTTGTGACTTTTAAAATATGGGTCTCCAGAAAACACTGAAATACAGAATACTGTATAACATCATGCAAAAAGATATACCATTGTGTTGTTCAAAAATACTATAGGGCTCTTAACGATGAGAAACACATACTAATTAATCGCAGGTTAGGTGTGAATTAATCTCAATTAATAATGATTGGATTTAATCTAGATTAATCAAGATAATCAACATTCCCGAATATGTGGCCTGGGGGCCAAGTCGTTTTGAGTGGCCCCAGCCAGTACAACCCATTACCCATGACCTAATATTTTAAAATATTGCCAGATTATCTTTAAATAAAAAAAGTAAATGGATATGAAATGGACTGGATTTTCTTTGAATGAAGTAAATTAGTTAAAATTAAGGACCGTATTTTTCAGGAAAAGAAGTTGACGCTGTTGTGGTTGTTCGCTCCTGCAGAGTCAGGCGGTTGTCACTATTTTTGTTCGGAGTGGTCACCGTATTGTTGTTTTGACGCTGTTCCGTGCGGAAGTGCGGATGTTGTTTTGCAGAGAAAGTGTGTGTTTTTCCTGTATCGATAGAAATAAAGAGTTTTTGACCCTGAAAGAGTCGTCCTGCATGGCACCATACATCGACAATACAAAAACAACGCAGAGTCTCCAGGTGTTGGGAGGAATGACGCGACGTTGCACGGATTTGGGTTACACAACCATACGGTAACAATTGTTGTTGAGCATCTTCTAATTGTTAATTAACAGAGGTAAAGTTTAACTGTTAAACGTCATTGTTGGCTCCCAGTGTGCTTCAGTTGTGTGCCATCATGTGTGATGCGCTGTGTGGTTTGGCTTTATAAAATTGGTTCGAGCTCAGTAAGCGCAACCAGAAGTAATACATAAGCCGCACTGGGTTATAAGGCTCATAAGGTTGATTTTTGAGAAAATTACAGGTTTTTAAGTGCGCCTTATAGTGCGGAAAATACGGTACATTTTTTCACTGTGTCCCACTGCGGCCCGGTACCAAATGACGTATGGACATGTAATGGACCATGAACGAGTGATTGGGGACCCCTGATCTATACAGTTTTCCATTTACAACCGGCCCTACAAAGGGAACTGTATTGATGATGTGGCCCCCGGTGAAAATGAGTTTGACACCCTGCTTTATATCATATCAACAAAAAAAATCCTCCCACTTGAAAAATCAAACTAAAAAAAGTCATCTGAATCGTACCACTGTAGATCCACTAGTCCTCCCTGGTGAGCGATGGCCGACTTGACTCTGTTGGCAAATTGAACAGCGTCTTCTCCTTCCTTTTAAATTGGACATAATAACAATTAGACCCGACGTATCACACACCGTTGCATGTCTTCAGACGTTTGTCTCACCTGCTGATGCATGGCTGGTAGATACCAGACATTACAGACCAGGGCCCAGCTGGTCATCATCCGCAGCAGGTAACTGACCATGCTGTACTTGGAACTGTTCCAGAAAGCATCTCCAAACTTTGGATCGTACTGAGGAGGCAATTGTAAAAAAAAAAAAAAAAAGTTAATAATGTCCTGAAATTAAACAGTGGAGCAGATAGATGGAGCGTTTTCGTGTGAACTATAATAAATGGCATAAATGCTAAAATATTAAAATCTTTTTTAAGGCCATCTATTGGGGATACATGGGTATTGCAGGGAAAAGGCAAAAGTATAATGATGATATAAATAAATAATATGATTTGGAAAAGTTTGGCAGGCTGCATTAAAAAGCTGAACATCTTAGTTTGCTCATGCCTGGTCTAACCTGTTGTTAGGAATTTGATTAATATGATTCATATGAATTTTTGTGCTTATGTTTGACAAATACAATTAAGGCAATGTAGAAAAAAAGCATTTTCTGTGGTCCATTTTAAAAATCCTGTATGAGTGAAAAGGAAGTGAAAGAGCAGGGTATCACTGAAGTACCTTGATGGCTACTGGATATATTGTCGCACCAATTTCAAAACTCCCCTTTTTGAACATCATGACAGACGTGTTGTTGACACATGTCCCTGCAGAAATCAGACGTAGAGACGATAAAAGAAGTGCTGATTGGTCAGAATCTGAGCTACAACAACAAGTCTTCAATCTTTTAATATCAAACAAAATCAAACATCAGACGAGTACAGATCATGGTGTCTCTGCTCCTTCAACTGTTATCTCACTTACCCTCTGGAAATATTAATATGGGAAGCTTTGTCTTGTCATTCACATGATCCTTCAACCTGGAAGCACAACAAAGGTCATAGAAACCAATTCCTGCCTGTATAAATATCTCCAAATTCCAACTTTGAAGTGTTTTTTTTTTTACATTTTAGACAATGCTCTGTGTCACATTTAGAGCCAGAGTCTGCCTAAAGACTTGACAGTTAAAAATTATGGAATATTAGCTGCATGAGTCACTGCTCAGTAGCAACTTCTCCAAAAACATATTTATGCTCATGAACTTTAACGGCGTTCACTGCCAGGAAAATGTCAAACTTTGCTGCAGCCAGAGAGGCACAAGAAAGAAAACAGGGGAGGCAATTTCAAGCCTGAGAAGTTGTTGCTGCGGTAAATTCACCTTTTGGTCACTAGGTGGCGATCTTTCATCTCTGCTCTCTCAAACCAGACATGAGGACAGGACCTGACCATGGCTCTCTGCAGCAGTCCCATCAAGCCTCCGTGGACCTGACCCACCTGAACATCAGAATATTATGTTCTCATTATCTGATTTTTTTTTTAAAAAAAAGTTCAGTTTACTTGCTTTGCTTTACCATTGCATAACAGGCGTCGTTGCAGAGAATCACGATGTCAATGGGAGACGTGTGATTAGCCACACAGATTCCTCCCTTTTTGGGTATGTTTTCCCTGAGTTTTTGAGGAGAAAAACAAAGTCAGAAAGATGAAGCTGTTCCTGACAGGTGATATGAAGGAACTCACTGTGAGAACGAACACTCACCTGTTGTGATAGTGGATGGTGGCTGAAAGTCCTCGAGCACAGATTCTGTAGCAAATGACATGAACCCATTCACTCAGCCAAGACTTAGCACTAAAAAAAAAAAAAAAAAGAAGAGAAAAATAGCAACAACATTTTAGGCATGTTGTAAAAAAACAAAACAACCCCCTCCCAAAAAAACATAAAATTGATTTTCAAAACATTACCTTGAGTGGGGGAGGAATCCAACTGCTGTTGTTCCAATAACTAACCAGCTCAAGCCAATACAGGCCAGAGTTAACCTGCACGTCGTAAAGACATCAGTTAGTAATTGTTTGAGACAATCTTATAATAAAAGAAAAAAAAAAGAAACAAAAAAGAAACGTATCTCGTGCTAACGAGAAACCTTAGGTTAAGCACAGGCCTATTCTTTCTTTCATGACCTATAATCCATTATTATTATTATATATTTCGTAATAAATTTCACGTAATTTAGTGATAACTTTGACGTTACAGTGGTCCCTCTCTTTATCGCGGTTCTACTTTCGCTTCCTCAGTACATCGCAGATTTTTTTTAATCCAATCTCGAGACATTAAAAATGTATCTTTAATTTCCAATATTTTCATTATTTTTGTTCAGTATTTTTAAGATAAAAATATTCTAGCCTAAAAGGGAAAAACTGTATTGAAATCAACGATAAGACATTTTGCCACACACACATGACAAAGTATCTCGTGAGCAAGAGATACGTTTCTTTTTTTCCGCTGGTCCCTTTAGGGCTCCGTAAAAGCCAGACAGCTAGTGAAGCCAATATTTGGTTAACTCAATAAAAACATTAAATACTGATTCTATCTTTTAATTAACCAGTTTTTTTTTTCCTAAACAGTTCCAAAACTGGGGGGCGGGACCCCTTGGTACTGAGACTAATTAAACTTTATATCAAAAAAGTATAAAAAATTTAAAATTACAAGAAATTAAAATGCAAACATTTTTATAAAAATTTTAAGTTAGGGTTGATGTATTTTATATGACTGAATAATTTGCCTGATGACCTTGGAAACACAGTTCTTCTCACTCAACTCCTCTTTTATGTCCCCACACTTAAATCATAAACAGATTATTATTTAGGTCAGCTTGTGTACTGCACCTGAGAGGGGTGAGAATGCAGTATCTGATGAAGATGCCGAGGCAGTAAACCAGTGTCAACTTCAGGCTGATGTACTGAAAGTGATTGTTTGTTCGCGTCAGCAAGTTCCAGGACACCAGCTCCTCAGACGTGAACCGCTGGGTGACCTCAATTACAAAAGATGAACAGATCAAACTCGTGGGTGCGGAGTCAAAACAAACTAACTTTGTTCATTCATGTCAAAGTAAAAATGTTCTACCTCATCCTCAACGATGCTTTCAATCCCTCTTCGGGTAAAATAGAAACAGTCACTAAATGTAAAATCGCCGCCTACTGACGACTTGGGGCGACTGCGTCTGAGTTCCTCCAACTCTTTCTCCATGGAACCGTTTTCCCTGAGAATGAGGCCTGACAAAAAAAGAAAGGAAACGGATTTATCTCCACAGTCTGATAACAAGAATAATCCGGTCAATTTTATTTAAATGGACTTTTACATGAAAATAAAATTCCAAAAATACAAATACTATAAATCAGTGTTTCCCAAAAATATTTTCCAGGGACCCATATTTTAAAAGTCACAAACCTTCGTGACCCAAGTCCATAGACATTATTCGTAAACTCCTGGGAAACATGATGCAAGATGAACCCAAAAAAAAAAACTCTTGCGACCCACCTGAGGGTCACAACCCAGTCTTTGAATAACAATGCCGTAAATTAATCAACGAATGATTACTTCATCTTAACAAAAAAGATTGGAACATCTTGTGAAAAATATTTATTTAGTAGAACTAAACAAGATTGCATACTTTTGCACTTTTGCAATATTTAATGAAATACAATCATTTCAACAGACGGTGATTTTCTAGGTTGTTTGATTCCTACCTAATCATGGTTATTTCTTAAAGGACTTTAAGAAAAAAAAGTCTTGAGGTTCATTCAGAAACATTATTAGCCCTTCTCTCAGGTTTCCTTCTCTATAAACGTCCTAAGAAAGAACAGAATGATCTAACAACAAGATTCTAGAACCTACTTCAGTGGAGAGCAGATCTTGGAAGACTTAAGACTTGGCCTCTGTGACTGCACATTATCTGATAACTAACAGGTTAAAGTCCAAAACCTGGATTATCAAACAACTACATTCAATATTTGCCAAATTTTTCTTTCTACACTGACTGCTAATGCTCAGTAATGAAGCACCTCCATTTAAATGAACTTTCATTCATTAAAACAATGACATGGAGTTCATTGAAATGTTTACGTGTTGCTGACAGAAGATGACATGACACAGCAGGAGATTCCACTCTGAGTGTATGACAGTGAAGTATTGTGCAACTTCACCCTCTGAGATAAACGGCGTTACTTTAGCAACGCCACCTTGTTGTGTGGGTAAACTAAGTGAAGTTCAGTTGAAATATTTTCTACATTCCGGTAGAACTGGAAGTTGAACATTTCTGATGCAATTATGAAGTTATGTACTCACCAATGTGACCATATTGGATGGTCACGTTTTCACATTATACCACGATAAAATAATGAAAATGTGCTGTGATGATAACTGAAAGCTATGGTACGTTTATTGGGGAACTTCAAAATGTACTTTCAAAATTAAAGGCAGTAAGTTTTACACAGTGTGTACATACAGTAAGTCATAGTGACTATTCAAATAGTGGTCAGTGGGCATTATGCGGTCCAAAAGTTACCCCAAAGTGGCCCGGGACATGATTCACAGGTGACTTTGATTAGTTCAGGCACTTTGAGTCAGTGTTTCTCAAACTTTTTTTCTGGGGACACATATTTTAAAAGTCACCTGACCCAAGTCAATAGACGTTATTCGTAATCTCCTGGGAAACAGGATGCGAGATGATCCCCCAAAAAATCTCTTGGGACACACCTGAGGGTCGCGACCCAGTATTTGGGGAACAATGCTTTAAATACGCTTCAAAATAAAAGTTAAATAGTAAAAAATTGTAAATGCTTAAAATTGTCTTTAGTTTCTTTTAAGCACAGTTACAATTACACAGTTGAACAATATTATGAAATAAAATCAATACATTTCATCAGAATGCAGTGTGACGTAAGGGAAATATTTACAACTGCAGATACTCAAAGATCAGATCAGATGTTTTGTTTGCCTACATTGAATAACATAGTAATAGATTTACTGATGTGGGACCACAACAGTATCCATATGTTAATGGTCACTTTTAGATACAGACAATTACTATTTAGTATTGTTCATGTGCAAAAAAAAGCCTCCAAATGTGTGTGATTTCATTATAACAGTCCTGTCCAGACTTGTAACAAGGAAAGTCAGGAAATGCAGTGTTGCAAAGCAATACATTGCAAAAAAAAAAAAAAACCTTTCACAATAAGGGATGTGACTTCTTTGTATTAGTCCATTCACTTATCTATGTACGATGTCCTTTTAAACATATATATGTATATATATATATATTAACTCACTGTTTGAAGCAGACATGTTCAGTGTCCGTTCTTCTGTCTTCGCTCTTTGTATCTTCAGAGTGGCCCACTGTGGAGGGACAGACTGAAGATATTATCTCAAAGATACAAAATAAAAACAAAATAAAACAAAGGCCAGAGGAGGATGTGGTACCTCCAGTGTCTTGACCAGGATGGTCATGTAGGTCTCAGAGATGCCCAGGGAGAAGCCAAACATGGCCGGGATCATGATGAGACTGATGACCAGGTACAACCAGATCCTCACAGCCCAGAGGGAGAAGGCCCAGAAGTCCTCCATTTCTACCTGTCTCTGTGTACTGTATGTAGTATGTGCGTGCGTATTTGTGTCTGTGTGTGAGTGCAAAACTGCAACTCAACTGCAGTGCAGACCTGTGCATGAGAGGTGTTACGTCACAAGGACCAGAATAGGTCAGCAAACGCAACAACACAATGTGACATGAAAGAGAAAAAAAACAAAACAAAACAACGAAAAGCCGTGTTTTGGTTACACAAACAAACAGACAGACAGTCGCTTTCTTGTTAACCTGACGCTATAACTTGACAACGTAACAACAAATGTTTTTTCTAGGTCTAAGTCTTTGTTGGTGTCTGTCTCTCAGGTTAGTCTTGTCCATTTTACCTGTCAGACGTCAGTCCATGTCCGTGTTTCCTGAAGAAGTGTGCCTGACAGAGTCCGCTCCGTTCGCTACTGGAACAAAGTTCACTCCTCTGCATGCATTAGCACCTCCTCTGGTCACACGGGGAACTGCAGACACGTGGACCAGGGACGCTCTACTATAGAGTGAGAAGTACTGGCTTATATGAATGTACATTTAAGGTAGTATTATATTATATTATATTATATTATATTATATTATATTATATTATATTATATTATATTATATTATATTATATTATATTATATTATATTATATTATATTATATTATATTATATTATATTATATTATATTATATTATATTATATTATATTATATTATATTATATTATATTATATTATATTATATTATATTATATTATATTATATTATTATATTACATTATATTACATTATATTATATTATATTATATTATATTTGTGCCTTATAAAACGTAATTATGACAGTCTTGGTTTAATTTAGTTCATAATATATTAAAAAGGTAACATGGCACCTTATTTGTCACCAGATAAGTGACAAATAATACACCAAAAATACACCAAAGCTACAAAAAAAACTTTTTTTGTTTTTTAAACCTGCTGGAAATTTAATGTAACTTTTGAAAAAAATAAAATAAAATCACAGTCCTGTGTTCCATAGTATCTGACAGTCACTGATTAGTCAGTATCTGCAGGCAGTGCAGAGGAAACAGGCAGACTCAATGTATGAACCATGAATGTTTGTTTAAAACCAGAAAATGTATTTCGCCCAATTACAAACACTATATGAAACACTATCCTATAGATACAATCCCACAGTTAATTTTGTCTGTGATTATATTTGAGTGTAGTCTTAAAAATTGATTTCCACTTGATTGCCATGTGAGCCTTTGGGACCTATGGGAAACCTGACGGCCTGGGTAAAGACATGAACTTACCTGAGGTGGATGCATTTCGTAGTCAAGAGTGGTGTTAATGTAATAAAGTTCTTCTAAAAACTCGCAGACATTTTACCACAACAAAGGGAACACCTTGTGAGGAATGCTGCCACATGCACTCTGAGTCAATTCCCCTCAGCACCACCACCCAGCTAACAAAGGATCCCATTTATTTTTCCAGACTGAGAAAATCCACAGTCTGTGGCACATTACTGTATCAAGATACCCAAGGTGATGACTGTGATAAAGAGTCATCGTGGGATCTGGAATAATATATACAAAGCTTTCTGGGTCACGGTTTGGGCCTTTGAAGACCTAGAAAGTGTTTTGGGAAGAAGACCTGGCTGATCGCCACTGTAGCATATGGAAAGAATAATGTGAGCCATATGATGAATCCATCCACGTCTCAAGCGCAGCCCTAAAAGTATGTGATACGCTTGATAAAGTATTAAGTCTGCATCCGTTGTCAAAAGAAAGTAGACAAATTGACCAAGTCCTGCATTTTTCCCATGCTGTAGACATTCCAGGTGGGCAGTAAAACACTTCCTAACAACACTCCATTTATCATTTAATGTCAGGGTGTGTTAGTTCCAGTAAGGCACCACTTGTTAGTTTTCTATCCCTGGTCCTCAACACAAAGAACTTCCTTATGTTGTATTTGGTCCTTTTAGAGGCAACACCTTGTACGGTCCATTAGTTTTGTTGGCTGTTCTCTCTTATAGGGGTCACAAAGGGTAAGGTCAGGGTCGACCCACATCAACCCAAGGCTCAGTTGACAATGTCTGTGCAGACCTGCAGAATCCTTTTAACAAGGTATTGGACAATGTTATAATGAAACTATTAGCAGATTTCTTGGTTCGAAACAACAGTTAGCTTCATTAGCAGACAAAGCTTCACAATAACCCCCCTCCCCAACTAACTCACGTCTGTTTTGACTCACTCTGGGGTCATTGCCAGTCATTAGAAAAACAGCAGATGTAGACTGAGTCAGACAGTAGCCCCACATGTCTGGACCAGTTGTCAGTTGGAACCATCACTCAACTTTAGTCTTGAGGTCGTGACCTTTTTTGTGTACCATGCTTTAATATAGCACACTGGAGGTGGCAGACGAGCAGTGCAAGGATTCTCCAGTGTTGCAGAAGGTCTCTGGTTCGAATCCAACGAGTCCCTTAATGTGGTGCACAGACAGTGAAAAGTCACTATACCAACCTGATGAAGGGAAACGCTAAACTTGGTAAGATTCAGGACCTTCATATTCGGGCCAAGCATTTATCAGGTATTGCTGTCTTTTTTTTTTTTTCAAAAGAAGAGATACAGTTTGATTTAACACCTAGGTCCTATATGGGTCTTGATCCCTAATTTATCAGAGTCCAGCCTTCTTTAGTCAGTCTAGACCATTGTTTCCCAAAGACTGGGTCACAACCCTTAGGTGGGTTGCAAGAGATTTTTTTTATAGGTTGTCTCGCATCATGTTTCCCAAAAGTTTACAAATAATGTTGACTTGGGTCGTGAAGGTTTTGACTTTTAACCCCCTTGTACCATGACACAACACGTGTTACAAAGGAGAGTAAATAGCGGAGACCAACCCTTAATAAATGAGAAACTCAAGAAGGAACGTGTAAGTTGCTGTTCACTGTCGTTAGGATGTTTGTTTGGTAAAGTGCTGTTTTCATTAAGCATAAGAAACAGTTCCAAGGGTTCTGACAGAGATGTTATCACCTCGGAAGGTTTAAATAACTTTTAAAAAATGTTCAGACAGGTCTAGACAAGCTTCATCATTAATTTCTTTTTTTTTAAATTAGTCTTAGAACTTTTTGACTCAAGTCATCATGTATCATGTAATGAACTGAACAAACATTGGCCATTTATGTCAACTAAAACTAAAGAATGCATGCACAGGAATGTAAGTGTGTTTGGCTTGTGTGCTGTAAGTCAAGCCAGTGCTTGGTAGTAAATTATACTCCTTGTTTGATTAGTAAATGACTAAATACTGTGGTACTCCAGCCTCCATGGTGCACACCCGTCTAGCCTGCTATGATCAGACGTACACATATTTCTTTAATTGTAAACACTTAGATTTTTTTTTGATTTTTTAACCACGGCTGTACATCAGTACATACTGATGGTGGGGGCGGTTTCCAATGACAAGTCTGGACAGCGAACAGACGCGTGCGTCCAATCAATGAAGCTCCTTCTGGTTCTTCTGCCTCCTCTGCTCCTCTCCCCCCTCACTTACTGACTCGCTCACTCGCTCAGCTCTGTGAAGAAAGTTGCCAGAAGAACACTCCTCCCTCTCCTCCCTCTCCTCCTCCGCTCATCAGAGCAGGGAGCTTCCCCCCCCCCCGCCCCCCCCCCCCTCTCCAAACTCTCCAAACTCTCCATGCTCAGGCTCCCGGTGTTGCTCCGAGCGTGTTGTCCCCGCTGAAGGCAGACATCGAGCGACTTCTTCATGTCATGACACAGCGCAGCGCAGGATCCAAGTGGTCTTCTCCAACACCACGTTCCCCCCACTCTCCGCGACTCCGTCCACGCCTGGTCACATCGCCTACGTGAAATATGCGATGGTTGCAGGAGCGCCGGGTTCTTCTCCTTCTCCTTCTGCTGCACTTTGTTTCCATGTTGGCATCCGGCCACGAAGAGCTCCACGACTCTGCAGAACAAGGTCAATGTTCTGCAGCTGCAGCCCCATCTGCCCCTGTGTGCACGGCTTTCTGCATGGTTGGATGTGTATTACAACTGGCGATTAATTCATCGATTTTTATCGGCGGTTAATCGATAATGTAATGATTTGTCTGATTTTTTTTTAAGCTTAGCCAATGCTAATATGTCCTGTTATTTTTGGACTTATGTGATAGTTGAGAAGAAAACAACTGACGTTATTGTTTAACAGAAACCAGTAGATATTCACCTGGTACTGCAACCAGGTGATTGTCGACAAAGTTATTTGATACAGCCACAAAATTTAATAATAATGATGATAATAACTTGTACACCAATAATAGTCTAAAGGTATTCAGTTAACTGTTAGCAAAGCAACCATAGTATTTAAAAAGCTAAAACCCAGACTGTAGCTCCAGGGAGTCTATATGTTTATAGGTGATTTGAAGTATTTTATTTAAGTATTGACAAAAGGAAACTTTTTAGTTGTTATTGCCCATGTATAGCTTGTTTTTTTTGTTTGTTTTTGTGCGGGGTTTTTTTGTTTGTTGTTTTGCTTTATTGCTGATTTCCCTCTAAATGGGAATTGGCAGGATGTGATTATCAACTCAGTGTTAAATGACATAAATAAGACAAAGTTGATGTATTGTTATATATATTTTATTTTATTGTCTTCTAAAGTCAAAGAAACAGTAATGGTCAATATATGATTATATATATGTATATATATATATATATTTGTATATGTCTCTATATATATTTCTATAATATTAAGAATCAATGAATATAAACACCGTCTGGTGTATATTATCTTTTTGCTGACCTTCTGTACATGATTGTTGTTTTCTTTAGGTCAGTTGTTCCACTCAGAGTCCGACGTGTCCGTTGTGCACCCGGAGAAAACTGATTCCCACGGAAAGTCCATTTCCCATTCTCTGACTCACCACTTCCAGCATGAGAGAGTCCGTCGTGAGCTGCATCCCTCTGCTCCTGAGGAACGCGTTTACTACAAGGTCAACTACAAGGGTCGAGAGCTGATGTTCAATCTGAGCACGAACCACAATCTGGTGTCCACCGACTACGTCCTGGAGAGGAGGAACGGCGGCCCTGGCAGCATCGAGCATCGCCAGCCCGGCGCTAACTCCTGCCATCTCTTTGGTTCTGTAAGAACGTCGGAGGTCCGTGGAACGGCTGCCATAAGTACTTGCAAAGGGCTGGTGAGTAATCACTGTACACTGTTCTGAGGAGCTAACAGAAATTTAGCCGAGCGAGAACAGTAGCAGCCGTGATACTGTTCTGTTGTTTGAGATAAAGAGATTTTAAAGCCTTGGATGAAGACAGGTGTTCATGTTCTTGGTAAAATGCGTGTTTCAGTGAAGTTTGTGAGCATCTGATTTAATCTCTTTTAGACCTTTGGGCTACTTGGTAGCATAGGTGTGGCTGATCTGCTTACATAACAAAAAGATCACAGGTTTGTT